ACCCATTCTACCCTACTGTTTTTATGGTTACAAAAAATTGATCCGACTACTTAAAAGAGGAAAAGATCTATGTAATTTCTATGTAATTTCAGAAAAACCGGAATAGTATAAATTACATTGCAACAACCGCAACGCATCCTACATTGGCCAGACAAAACGACTTCTAGAGACGAGAGTCAAAGAGCACTTTAATAATATTAAAAAAGATGATAATATCCATTCCGTTATTAGCAAACACCGTACTGCGCTCGGTCACGATTTCAATTGGTTTTCTCCAGACATCTTGCATTGTGAAAATCATATGAGAAAGAGAGAAATTGCCGAAATGTTACACATAAAAATTTATACTAACACCATTAAGTGGCGCTATAGCCTCTTTACTACTCACGTAATCCAAATGTAAAACTATTACTCTTAGATCCCACTTGATAAGAACCTAAACCAAAGGTCGAAACGTTGTGAAATCGAATCCAATAAATGTGGCCAGCTGAGGTCGATTAAAATTTGAATATTTGTTATCAATACTGGCAATCTGAACTAACGTACTGTTAACACCATTAATTAAAAAAAGATATCGAGAATTTTAACTCTATATATGACACTATTATTAATGCTTTGACTTGATGTTTGGTTATCTATTAATTTACGTATTTATTCCCCTCCATGACTTCTCGATTGGAAGACATTTTGGAGTTAATAACACTCTGGTTAAAATGCGAAAACGGTTTTATTGGGTTATCTGTAAGCAGGATGTGGAGGAATATTGTAGAACTTGTGAAATTTGTGAAAAGGCCCAACGGAGAAGGAAGTCTTCTTTACAATTTTATAATGTAGGAGCCCCGTTTGAAAGGCTACAGATGGATATCCTGGGTCTACATATTTCCGATGACTACATCTGGGAAAAGGTTTCTTGTTGTAGTTGTAGACTGTTTCACCAAATGGGTGGAAGCTTTCCCTCTAAAGAATATTAGAGCGAAGACTTTCCCAGATAGCATATGATATTCTGAGAATATTCTCAGAATATTCGAAAAATGTCAAGTCCGATGTACAGGGTCCATCCCAAAAGTAATGAGCCTCATTTTTTTCCGGACGCGAGTGTACATTCCGGCGCGCTCCAACGCTTGGGGCAGGTGGTGGGAGGTCTAAGCTTTGAAACGCGACCGGTGTCAGTCGGCTTTGAGCTCTCGGAGCGGTAGGACGGATCTTTCCGTGAACCTCTGTTTTGAGTTTTCGACACGGCGCGATGGAGTCTACCATCGAACAACGCTACGCAATCAAATTCTGCGTCCGTCTGGGCAAGAATGCAACGGAAACGTTTTCAATGCTTCAGGATGCCTTTAAGGATAATTGTTTATCCTACTCCCAAGTGAAGAAGTGGCACAAGGCGTTCAAGGAGGGGCCGGAAGAGGTGGCTGACGAACCTCGGTCTGGACGCCCGTCGACCTCCCGAATCGATGAGAATGTGCAGCGAGTGCGCGATTTTTTGAACTCTGATCGTCGGTTTAGTGTTTACCAGGTAGCAGATGCCCTGAATATTCCGAAATCGACGGTGCACCGAATCATTTCCGAGGATTTATTGATGCGGAAGGTGAGCGCCAAACTTGTGCCGCGGGTGTTAACTGACGACCAAAAACAGCTCCGGGTGCTTCGGTGTAAAGAATTGTTGCAATTGTGCGAAGATGACCCCGAGTTTTTAAGCAAAGTGGTAACCGGCGACGAAACGTGGTGTTTCGAATACATTGCAGGTACGACCCGGAGACAAAAAGGCAGAGCGCTGAGTGGCACACCACCGCGTCACCCCGGCCGAAGAAAGCTCGAATGAGCAAAACCAGGACCAAGACATTGGGTGCGTTCGGCAGAGAAAGCAGCTTTGCAACTGTTGGAAGATTTTCTGCTGAACACCACCTAGCGGTTTATGCTTTTCCAACGTTTGCTCAGCGGTCGCCATTGTTTCCAGCATACTAAAAGTACGCTGAGTAAGCGCAACGTGTTGTGCTGCCTAACCTATTTCATTGTTTACGAAATGGATAATGTAAATAATATGGATGAATTGAAGGAACATTATACTTATAATAATATAGTATACAGCGTTGTTGCAGCAAGAGATGTGCACAAGCAGTTGCAAAATTGTACGTATATGAAAAATATTATGTAGACTTACAAAATTGTAAAAAATAATTTCAGCTATAAATGTTTTTTGCATTTGTTATGTTACTATGTTTGGACGGTTGAAAAATAGCAAAATAATAATTTTTTTTATAACTCGTATGTTCAATTGTATATTAATTAAGTGAATGAATTTTTTCCTATACACCACAAATATTTTATGTTTAAAATTAATACATTACTCTAATTCTTAATACACTTACAAAATGGAAATAATTTTTAAATTATATTTGTTCTTTATAAATTCAAAATTCTTTAATACATATTTTGCACAGACTGTGTCGTCACATGAAGCAATAAGCGTATCAAACGAAGGTAATGGTATGTATGTATGTATCTTTAATTTTAACTAGACATTACATTTGTAATTCATGATAAGGGTAGATTATGATAGTTACAATATAATAAAGTTATATCTATTATATCTATTATATCTATTATATTCTGAAGGGCCTGATCCCATCCTATCTGTTATTTCTCCTCTTTTTTACCATTTCAACGACTATCGACCAGCAATCTAAGCACTTTATGTTTCGAGTTTCGAAAAGTGAAACTCTGACAAACAATTTTTTGTGGGGAAGGGACTCGTGCGTTTGCTAGTCGATATCCGTTGATTTCTAAAATTATAGTTTCCAAGGGAGAGAAAAAAAATTCCTTATGGTTTTCCGAAAGAGAGAAATCGTGGAGTCCACAGGACGTATCACTATATTATATAGATCCTCTTATTAAATATGTATTAAACTATTTTCTAAATCCTGTATAAAACATTTATCATATTACAGATTCCAAAGTTGTAAACTTTTCATGGACTAGAGAGAATACCAAATTATTCTTGGATTATTATTTTGAACGAAAAGATAAATTGCGGGATCCAAAAATTAAAAAACATTATGGTTAGATATTGTCAAAAATTTTAAGTCAAAGGGCTACAATGTTACTGAAGACGTATTGGACCGTAAAATGAGAAACTTAAAACAAACATATAAAAGTTTAAAGGATAATAATAAAAAGACGAGTACAGGACGTGGTAGAATTTCCTGGGAGTGGTATGATTCTATGAAAAATATCTTTGTAGAAGATAAAACCATAAACATTGGCGCATCACTCTCCTCTATGGCATCTTCTGACAAGGAAAGGAATGTTGAACAATGTATTCCTTCGCAACATTGCTCTATTTCAAATTCAGAGAAAAGAATGACAATGTCTTCAATTTGCTCAGATATAGAAATAGCGCAAGATGTAACAGACAGTGCATTTTCAGCTTGGTGTGTAAGACTGCGCAAAATACATTCTTTTCTTAAAAGTTGTATAAAAACTAATAATTTTAGTCGCGTTACACATGTTTTTGCATATTCGTCTGTTAATTTATATGCATTAAATAAGCTACAACATTGTGCACAGTTAAATTTTTATCCTTACATGTACAACATTAAAAATGAAGGTACCACGCTATAAACCCATACAGCACAAACCTTACAGCTACATTGCAGCTACATTACAGCAATGTTGCAATATTGTAGCAATGTTATTGCAATGTAACTGCAAGTTTTGTGCTGTACGGGAACATGACCAGTATGTTAATAACGCAGAAATTAACAAATATGAATTGTTTGACAATTACAGTCAAACAGTCCCTTCCTTCCCGATAAACGATCCTGTTCCTGATGTTGACGATGTTTCTGGTCCAAAATCCAAGAAGTTGAAATGTGCAAGAACGAAAGCTTCGTACGATCTTCGAAAGCAACAATTGGAATGTGAACAAAAAAGAGTAGATGCCATAAATGAGTTAAAGGATGTTGTAAATGAACATAACAGGATACAAAGAGAGAGAAATGAAATATTGCGAGAATTAATAGAGTCCAATAAAAACAAGAGTAACTAATTATTAATACAAGTAAAAATAACGTTAACATATTAATAGATTTAATATTGTGTATATTTAATACAAAATAAATATTTTATAAACTACATAAGTTTGTTCCATTATTTAAAGATTTCGAGCTATATTCATACGCTTCTCAACCGCTTCAACATCTTCGTCTATGATATCAACTTGTACTTCGTCCTCTATGTATTCATTGTCCATAACTACTTCATCCTCCATCATAAATCCATCTCTGTTTAGTATGAAGTTGTATAATACACAAGCTGCAGCAATCACATGATTACCCAGGTCCAAATTTGAAATATCCAAATATTTCAGTCTCCTAAATTTGGATTTAAGTAATCCAAAAGCTCTCTCAATTATTGACCTTATTGAATTTAGTTTTGTATTATATGTAAGCTGCAAATGTGTTAGGTGACCATTATCTTTAAATGGTGTCATTAAATTTCGTAATAGGGGATATGCCGAATCTCCAATAATATGCCGATTTTCTGGAATAAGGCCATTTCCTATAGCATTAAACAATGGACTATTTCTGAACACTCTTGCATCATGCATGCGACCTGGCATTCCAATATAACAGTCTATAAATTGACCTTTGTGATCACAAACACCTATAAACATTTCAATATATAATTATTGATTATATTTAAATAAACAGATTTTATTTTACTCTTTATCCTTACCTTGTAGTACAATTGAGTGGAAACCTTTCCTATTATAATAATCATTGGCATTTCCTACAGGTTGTTTGCATGGAATGTGACATCCATCTATAGCACCAATTACCCCTTTAAATCTTCGTGACCGGGTATCAAATATCTACAAATAATAAATAATGAAACAAATTCTTACTTCATTAATACACAGAAAAACTTATAGCTCCAATAAATTAACATACATTACAAGATAAATCACACTGTGCTGTATTTGGCCATTGCACATAAACAGGCATTAACCGTGCCAAAGCATATACATGTATGTCTGCGCAGTAACTGGGCGCATGCGTGCCTCATCGTGTTCCACGCTGATCACGCGCGCCCCACTTTTCTATATCCTCACTTGAATAAAGCGAGTATTACTGAAAGCACGTGTCAACTTTTATATTCCGAGTTATCCTAAGAGATCCTGCAAGTCTGCTTCAACAGAGGCAATATTGCAGGATGTTTCGCATCGAGTGAAAAAGCTGCGTGAGCGAGTCGTCCGCCAACGCGAATGACTCCTTGAGCGTCGATGTACGCAGTTAATCGGTTGAATGCGTGTGCCTTTGCCAACGGTGAATCTGATTGTAGCGCCTTGAGCTCGTGAGAGAAGTACGTTGCTTGAGTTGCCTGAATCCAGAAGAGCCTCGCTTTCTCCAAGGTCTCTGGAGAGATGTGTCTAACAGGCAATGAGTCGTGGACCTTCCTCAACCGTGAGACGAATCTGAAACAGAGAACTGTAATCCTCAATAGTTTAGTGAGGCTTGAGTACCTGTAGATGAGTTCCCATTGATAATCAGTCCTTGGCGTAACTGTCAATAGCGAGACGCCTGGGCGAGTTTCTGTTGCACTCAACTCTTCGGCGAGCGCTGGTTGCGACGGCCATGAGTCTGAATTGATTATCCATGGTGGTCCCGTCCACCAGAGTGCGTGGTTTTGAAGTTGTGTGGTCGTGAGGCCTCGTGATGCGCAATCAGCCGGGTTGGAAGTTCCAGGTATGTATCTCCAGTGAGCAGCTGGAGTGAGTTCTTGAATTTGAGCCACCCGGTTCCTGACAAAATCCTTCCAGCGTGATGCATGAGATTTGATCCACGAAAGTGTCACTAGAGAGTCCGTCCACATATGCGTTGCCGTAACGTCCATGTTCAAAGTGGCTTTGACGTATTGCATGAGTCGAGAGAGCAGTAAAGCAGCCGTGAGTTCCAGTCGCGGGATGGA